GGGGGTGGCCCGGGGGGTGTTTCCCCTCTGTGTCTGGGGGTGGGGGAGCAGAAGCCGCTGCCCGTCGCAGCCCGAGGAGCAGCACTGCCTGTAGAAGGGCGGGGAGGCGTAGGGCGCTTTCCACCTGTATGCGCCCCCTCCCCAGGGCCTTAGTTCACCGTAGGGCGAGCTGGCTGGCTGAGGCGACCGGCGAGGGGGTGCCGCCGAGGTCTGCGCCCGGCCTGGGGACTTGAGGTTATTCGGGTGCCCGTCGGCCGGGAGCCCTCTCCGCCCTGCTCGACCACCCCCCTCTCCCTCCGAGATGCTCCTGGAAGCGCCGCTCTTTGTGCGCCTGCGGCGGGGAGTGGGGGACGACGGTGGGGCCTTTGTCTGCGCGCGCTGTGCTGGTCGCTGCCCTTTCTCGGGGGACGCGCAAGAAGAAGGGCGGGGCAGTGGCTCCGGCTCTTTCGGTGTGGGGAGGGGGGGCTGCCTGCTGACAATGGCTTCCTCGCTGGGAATTGGCGCAGGGCTGGGCTTTGTCGGGCTTCGCCGACCTCCCCTTTCCAGTGCAGCTCCAGCTGGCCTGGGAAAGACGCCCCCTCTTGGCAGAGTCGGCCCTCGAGCGCCTCTCTAGACAGATGCCTTGGTGACCCTCCTGTTTCCCAGCTGGGAAACTGAGGCAGCGGGTGGAAGGGTCCTTTCCCAGCCCCATTGTGGAGAAGGGCTATTGATTGAGCAGCCAAAGGGAGAGTTCTGGGCAGCTTTTCTGTATAGAGAAAAGGGTATGGGGTCAGTCCCCTTGAAAAGTTGCTTTAGTAAGTCTTTGCCCAGTGGCTGGGTCCATATAACCCTTCAGGCTAGAGTAACCAAAGTTGGGTCGTTTGAGGTTCAGCATTGTCAGCGTTCAATGATAGTCTTAGCCTGCTGTGTGAACTAGGCTGTCATGTCATTGATTGGTTTATTTGTTTGGGCATAACATTTTCGGAGAACACAGCAAGAGTATTTTGGTAATCCAGCTCCAAAGTTTAGTGTATAGTGCTAACCTAGGTAACCTATAAGGTTTGGGAGAGATGGTACACAGCCTGCTCTTCTAGAAGAAATGCCCTGAGCAGTGTCTAAAAAGAGCTTGTAATATCTGCTCCTGTGCCACAAACACATGTTGAAATAGCAGTTAAGGATCTCCACTGATGGAAGAATGTGCCTCTTTCTAATAGCTAAGATTTCACTCAGTCTGCCTTGTGTGTTCTATTCTGCTTTGAATACTAGAACTCTATGCATATGAGCCATTTTGCCCTGAAGTGCTCCAGTCCTGCTTAGCAAAAAAGCCTGTTCTGGGAGGCCCTTCATTGATCTAAGCCCATTATAAAGCATATAGTAGTTAAAAGTAGTCTTCCTGGAAAAAGAATGCTTGACCTAATGGAAAGGTCAGTCCAGTTCACTCCATGAGTCTTGTACCCATTCAGAAACTAAATCTAATCAGAACCCTAGGGAAAAGGAATAAATTTGATTAGTAGGTACAGCTGCTATCTTTTTTGTATCCTCTAATTTTTAAAAATCAGAAAGAATCAGATTCCTATGTTGAATTTATCTATATGCAGTTCTTTGGGGGGGAAGACTTGGGTACCTAACAAGGACATACATTCTGCATCTTGTTCCTTCTCACAACTTTCTCTTTGCCTCATTTTTCTTTAAGTCTAGTACAGTTAAAGCTAAGTGGGACATCCTTGCAATTAATCTAGAAGATACAATAGGTATAGCTTTTTCTCTGTCACATTGCTTTCTCCCTGACATCCATCAAGGGAGTTGCTGACTGCCCAGCCTGAACTCTTTGGAGAAGGAAATCCCACCTATGTCTTTGCTTTAAAGTGAGCTTTGATTCTTAATGGATTTTCTGAGTGCAAATAGCCTTGAAGTTGTTTCCTCCTGCTTTAGAGGGAGAGTCTTAGCACTGCATGTTTACTTAAAAGTAAAACTTGCTATAGTCAGTGGAATTTAGTTTCCTAGTAATAGGATTTCGATCCTACAGACTATGGCTGTTTTTGCTGCCCTAAGGCTTAGAAAAATCTATTTTCCCATAGGAACCTGAGATTGATGCTCACGGATTGTTTCTATACACATATGCACACATGCATACATGCACACATAGATATATCCTGCTTTCTCCTTTTGGGCTGTTCAGTTATTGTACTTGAAGAAGACTGAGACCCTCTGGAGCTGCCGTTCCTAACCTGTTATCCTCTAGATTTGTGAAACTACAACCTCCATAATCCTCAGTAAGTGTGGACAATAGCTATGGATGGGGAAAAGTATGTGCCAGAGTTGGAACTTGCCTAGGAAAGATGGGTCTGTTGATGGGTCAGGGCAGCAGCTGCCTTTTAGTCAGGTTGCTGTGACACAAACAATAGTTGTTTAATTACTGCTTTTACAGTCTAATTAAAACACAATGCTTCTCTGTGTGCAGAAGTCCCCTGCAAATACATTTACTCCCCTCCATCCATTTCCAAGTGGGATGATGGAGGTTTGGCCTGATGTTCTTGGGCTGAATTAACAGCACTGCTAATTTAACTCATTACATTTTTAATAACTAGACTTAGCATCTGCATATTCACGTATGATATCCTTTTAACTCTTGTAGCAGGCCTGGAAGTTAGACAAGTATTAATATTTTCAAATATCAAATGGGGATAAAAAGGAAATGACTTGCCTGTGATTCTCTAGAGAATTTGTGACTGAGTGGGGCTTGAACCAGGAGCTGCCTGGTTCTTAATTGTTGTGTTATGCACATTTTGAGCTGTAACAGAGCTGCAAGTTGTGAATGGAACCTCTAATTATGTGCTGTAGCTATTCAGGGCAACAAAATGTCTTGAGCTGGCCTGATATCCAGAGTTATGAAGGGTTTTCTTCATTGCATGAATGAGGGGTCCCTGCATTGTTGTAAGAGTAATGTTCTCCTGGTATATGGTAAATGCTATAGGGTAGCCTTGTGTGGCAGTAGTATTGTTTTCCTTCCTCAAGGACTAGTAAATTCAGAGCAGCCTATCTAAGAGCTCTGCTCTTTGGAGAAGTAGGAGAAAAATTAAGGTTTTTTTCAATCACAAACCCAATTTTACAAACTGCTAACAAATAATCTGAACTTGACAATAAGCATAAGTTGAGTCTTTATGAAGCCTCAATCAAACATGCTTGAAATGTGTCAGGCTATTTCTCTACAGGAGAACCAAAGTTCCTACTTGCAGTTCTGCTGCTGATCATGTTATATATAATGATATGTATCTCTCTCTTTCTTACGGGAAAATATATCCTACCGCTATTCTTGCAAGAGTGGCCATCACTTTCTTCAGATGGAGGCTGGTAGCTCTGTGTTGCTTGGTTCCATTTAACTGTATAGCAGTCAATCTTTCTGTCTGCCTCTGCATAAGACTCCCTGTATTTGGCCCATTTCTTGCTTTGGGCATTAGTTTCACTTTTTTTTTTTTTTTTGGTTAAGTGTGCTTCCATATTATGGTGGGTTTACTGTTCCTACCAACCAATTCAGAGGTGGTTCCAGGATTCATTGGAGAACTTAAAGGTTTGATCTGTGTTTCCTGCAATGAGACTGAGGAGAGAGAGGCTGAAGATGGCAAGGGAAGGGTTAATCCTCCTTGGATATAACAACCATACAAACATTTCCACTGTGTGACACTGACTTAGATATGAACATTCATCCATATATTATGCTATGCAGAGGATGGAGTGGGGACAAGGAAGGGATGCCAAAGTAAGATAATTATTATTATTTATTAAACATATATGTCATCCAATGACTCAGTGATTCACAAGTACAAAACATTAAAAACAAGAAAAATACAAAAATAGACAAAAATGAACAATAGGAGATGGCAAGGATGACAAAAAACTGGACAGGAATAAAAAAGAAATGAATCTACACAATCCAAAGGGGGCTTCATTCATCCTTGCCAAAGGCAAAGAGTAGGAAGAAGAGACAGCAGGTGGAAAAAAGGCAACAATATATGTGTGGATTAATGTGAATTTATATTCTGGATGCACACAATAAATTGATCCCTATACTGATCAGATTGACTAGGTTCATACAACTCATTAGGCTAAAATGTGGCTATATAGTTTGTGATTCAGTATGTTGTATGAAATCTCAGCAGGAGGCAGCACTTGGGAGTGTTTATTTATTGACAGGTATTTTTGTGCTGCTCAGCTCACTAAGATTCTTGGCAGTGTCCCAAATTTTCTCAACTTGGAAGGAAGCCAGTTTGGGCTTGGTTGGTATTAGATGGGAGGACTGAAGGGTAGACTGGAAAGTTGAAAATCATCCCAGAAGAAGAAGATGGTCAATGACTTTCAATATTATTGCCAAGAACATTTTCATTACTTTATTTATTTCATTTTTATATACCAAAATCATATGACTCATGGTGATTTACATTCATAAAAAAATTAAAGACAATTAATATATGAATGTGTCCACAGAATCAAGCTTGACTTGAAGGACGCTTTACTGTTGTTTTTAACGGTTGGTTTCTTCAGTTTTCTGGAGTTTGGAGCTGTCTGCTTACAATTAGACTTTGAATTTGTATGGCTGAATTTCAGGT